GTTGTTCAAAACTAATGATAAGCCTGGTGTAAAAAAGTTAAACATGCTGATAAAACTGGAAATAAAAAGACTAAGTGTTTTATATAATCAAAGATTTTTGTCATGTAAAACCCCTTCTAATTTATGGAAACTTTTCAAAGAAATTACTAACGGTAAGCGATGTATTTCTGTTCCATCTCTTAATGTTGACACTCTTAATAAATCTTTCATACGCTCTTCTGTTGATACCCTTCCAAATGATACAAATCATATTGACAATAACTTTAGTGGTTTTAATACCCTTGATGTGCTTAAATGTCTCCGGTCTCTTAAGCCTTCTCAAAGCCTTGGTCCTGACGGCATACCTGCCATTGTCCTCAGGAATTGTGCTGATATTTTGTGTTATCCTCTTACTAACATTTTTAATGCCTCTTTTTCCGGTAACGTTCTACCTTTTGCATGGAAAAACATTAAAATTATCCCTATACCAAAACCATCTTCTGGTTCTGATATTAAATTTCGGCCTATTGCAATTACTTCCCCCTTTTTAAAATTGATGGAAAAATTACTTTTACTTCGTCTTGAACCCGCTTTGAAACCTTTTAATGATCCTAAACAATTTGCATACAAACATGGTAGAAGTACCTTGGATGCTGCGGTTGTCTTATATCACAATGTTGTCTCTTGTTTAGACAAAGGTGCTAAATATGTTCGTAGTGCTTTCTTAGACTACACATCTGCTTTTGACTCTGTACCTAGGGGCCTTTTATTAAATAAGCTATCGTTGACACAAACAGGATCCTGGGCTAAGAGTTGGTTGCATTCCTATTTTTCTGATAGAATGCAGTATACTGTATATAACGGCAAATCTTCTTCTACCTCGCTTACAAAATCCGGTGTTCCACAAGGTGCTGTCCTCTCTCCTTTTCTTTTTTCTTTCTTCCTACATGACCTGCCTCATTCAAACGAAACTAACTTTGTTAAATATGCAGATGATCTGACTGTATCACTGCCTATCACTTCCGAGTCTGACAGCTCCAAACTTAATAGCTTTCTGTTGGACATCAACAACTGGTCCAAGTCAAATGGTCTTATATTAAATCCTTCCAAATGTCAGGTGCTTGACTTTACTTTCAAGCATCGACGTGACTTACTTGAACTAGTTAACTCTCATGATCCCTGTAGCATAGATGGCACGGAAATTGAAACCAAATCAAGTATTAAATACCTTGGACTAGTTTTTTCCTCTGACCTTTCATGGTCATCCCATATCTTATCTATCTCTAAGAAAATGTTTCGTCTTACCTTCTACATTAAAAAGTTAAGACAATCAGGTATCAACCAACCTTTAGTTTTGCAATTTTTAAACTCCTGTATTTTACCTATTGTACTCTACTGCTCTCCATTAATCTTTCCTGGGCTGCTCAAAAAAGATTATATCATATTACGAAGAGTATTAAATGCTGTGAGTAGAGCTTGTGGTCTGCCACTGCATGAGCTCGCTAATACTATAGTCGAGAGGCATATAAATTCCTGTACGAAATGGGCAAAGGCTATAATGTCAGACCCTCTGCACCCCCTTTATTCACACCTGTCCCCTTGTATCTCATCAGGTAGGACGAGAAGTCAATATAAAAAGATATATGCTCGTACTACTAAGTATAGAAATTCTACAATACCCTATTTAGCGCGTACTTTATGTGACGAAGACTCTGTTAGACGTGAAACTTACAAGTTACTATGTAATTAGCACAGTGAATCGACCCTTTTATCGTTCATCTTTCTGTATTTTATGGTGTTACACTTTCTATCGTTTAAATCGTTACTCTGCTATTTTATATTAGTTGGTATTACTATTATTACTACAATTTTGTACTTTATACATATTTTTCTCCGTATGGCACACAGTATTTTGCTACGTAGCTGCTACAACAATCGTTTTATTACTATTATGTATTGTGTATTTTTAATTTTTTTTGTCGTTTTTGGGTAAATTAGATGCAATATTGTACTGAATGCTGAAAATTCCTTGCTGTATCATGAGTACTGTTTTTGGAATAAAGCAATTATTATTATTATTATTCCTTGTGTTAATCATGTGTTGTCTCGCAGTTAGGCCTATGAACACTTCTCTGCTTCCACAAGAAAACGTTTGGAGATGAGTTCAGGAAATCTAGTAACGTCCTGTGCACTCCTTCCTCTTTACTTGCTGCCGTCAGTATGCGTGTGAAATGGTAAATGAAGTTGGAGTTGACATACAGAGCAGGTTACTTATCTACATTTTACCGAGTTACCGAGCATGCTGTGTTGTGAAGTGGAATGAGTCTGGTAGCGCGAAATCTCCTTTCCAATTCACACTTGAATCTTTTCTCCATTCTCGTGGATACTTATTCCCTTAGAAAGCTAGAAAGATAAATAATTATCCCTATTCAGGCTTTTCAAGGCTTTACTCTAGGTGTTTTTCCATCTAGGTATTTTGATAAGACCTCTCGAGGGTATCCATTCTCAATAAGCTTCTTCCCGATAACTGTGAATTCATATTTAATAAGACTCTAACTCTGCTGAAGTGTATTTCGGAGAGGCTGTGTTCGTACCCGACCGGGCATGTTTCTTTACTATACATAGAATATTCAATTGACCTTCAGTTTTCTCATTCTATAATGAGATCTAAAAGTGGAATTCATTGTCATATTCACTATACATTGTAAGTGCAATAAACAGATGAGCCACATTGAGTTTATAAAACATCGTAGACGTTTCGTTCACATTCTTTTAAACCAAAAACGTGTTGTCAACATACCTGCTGTAATAATGAGCAGCGCTGATCCATTAGTGGGTTCAATCAATTCTGTTCAAGATGAGCTATGAACATATACTGGCTCATAATTGGAACACAGAGGTGGAACCACAATTACCCAGTCAATCCACGAGACAAAACAACTTCGAATTCCACATGAGATGGAATATGCAATTGTATTCCAGCACAGTGCCCAAGTTCTACACTTTCATTAACAACGTGTTATTAACCTACAAATATGCTCATTTATTTCTTTGTTCAAACTAATAAAGCTAACCGGTTGTACGAGGATTTGTCGCCTTGTTTACAAATGAACATCCAATTTCACTTTACTATGGTCACAAGTGCGAGAATATCCTGATTAGTCTGTAAACTTTACCAATTCCTCACTCACTTCATTGTGTGTACCACAGCCAACTCTCGACATGTGTTAAGATATGTTTCAATAAGTTGGGAATGTTGGTTGGATTTATATTTGTTTATTACTTGAGTGCTCTGGTGGTATATAATTCCACATTAATATGTTTATCAGACATATCGAACAGCGAAAAAACGGTTACTTTTTTACAAAACTACCGATAAGTGTGGCTATATAGAGTTGGTGAGAAACGACCTAATTTCTAATCAAGAAGTTGAAATTGAACAAACAGTTCCACTAGAAGATATAATGACGGGAGTGCAGCTATGCCTGATATCCACATTATTTAAATTCCATAGGAAATTGTATAAAGAAAATAAGGGAATTATCACGTTGTCATCAATATTCCAGATAGTGCCAGAAATATTCTTGGACACGTGAGAAAACTTAGCGATTGAAACGCTCAGTCGCATTCACCCACAAACTATGGTGGAGGTATGTAAGTGACACATTCACCGTGCTCAAAACACAGGACATGAATAAATTTTTCGTAAACATCAAATGGAAGCTTGAGACAGTTCAATTCATTAATGAACTGAAAATTCAAGAAGAGGAGCTTCCAATGTCAGAATGTAGCATGAAAGGAGGGAAGAGGATGGGAAATGAAAGACACCAGTGTGTTCACAGGAAACATACACATTCATACCGATATTCTGATTTCGGGTAATCCCACCATGTTTCAGTAGGAATAAGATTGGTGAAGTGCTGAAGTAATAAGGCAGAAAAGCTGAATAGTACTGTGGGGAATTTTAGGTAGGGGGTGAGGCATGCAAGAGAAGCTATGAAATATAATCACAATAAAAACAAAATAAAATATTAAAAAATAATGCAGAAAGCCGTAAAAACAAAATTACCAATAATAACATTAGTGATAGGGATTGTAATCATGACAATAATAATAATAGGTCGCGCTATATCGTGAATTGGCAGAAGTTAGAATTCAAGGACCATTGGATCGGTTCCCAGTGGCTTAATGGTATACGAGCTCGCCTTGTAACCGGGAGGTCCTAGGTTCGAATCTCGGTGTGTGCGTACTGCTGAAGAGTCCCAAACTAGGACGAAACAGCTGTCCAGTACTCCCAGGTTTTCCAATGGTTCTCTAACTAATGTCAGCTCATGATGAAATCCTGAAACCAACCAAATCCCTACAAACCAACACTCAAATAATAATAAAAATAATTATTTGCTTAATTCTAAGACAGCACTTATGACGCAGCTAGGAATTCTCACCATTAGTTACTATATTCCACCTAGTTCACTCAGCAGCAGCAACAACAACAACAACAACCTAAATATGAAAGTGTATGGGTAACGGAAACTGAAAATGCCAACATATTGTACAAAAAGTGAAAAAAAGGTGTAACAAAATCAATATTAAAAGCTAAAATCATAAGATAATTAAAATAGTGTCACGGAAAATGACAAATGGGAGAATATCAGAAAAGGCATTTATTTGTACTAATTAAGCCTAAAAATGTCTCTATCATATTGAACTCTGGCGAGGGGCCATACGTGTTGAGTTTCTCTAATTAGTCGTGTGACGAAACAAATATTCGTCCATACCGACTTCAAGTCCTACCTGATAATATGCAAGCTGAGAGGCAGAGCTGTGAATAACGAGGTTCCTGAGAGTGAGACATCATCGACTCAGCGGCTTTCTCGCACGAGTTCAGGTGTTTGTCGAGTACGATGGAAACGAACCAATTTAGTGGCACACTACATGAACTACTGTTAAACATCAAGTTCTTTTCAAATATATCTACTTATTTGAGCGGCAAAGGTGAGTAGATATAGAAGACAAAGACTCAAATACAAATTTTTATACACAAAAAGATAAACAAACAAATTTCAGACAAATTAATCACTTATTAAAAATACCACAAACACATGTCAATGTCACCATGACAACAGAAATCCCCAGTAAAATTAAATCACTACCGTAATAACTGGCTGAATTCCTTGATTTCGCCTGTGCCTCTTTCAATTCCTTTTTTGCTTCTTCAAGCATTTCTTTCACTTCTTGTTCTTCTTTTGCAAATTCCTCTTTTATTAGATCAGTGATTCTATCGTTCATTGCCTTCAATCGTTCTTCTGATAAATTGCCAGTATATTTCGATACTGTGATAACACCCTCGTCGTGGTTTACATTGTCAACGTTGTCATCAGCGCAAATTGATATAAACGCATAGAGATAAATCGAAATAATGTAGAGTTTCCAAAGCATCAGAATACTCTCCGAAAGGATTTGAGCAATCTGAAGTTATGTGAGTGAATGAGAATATATCCGTATATATATATATATGTGTGTATGGCGGTCTCTCTTTCTGTTGCTCTCTTAGTCTGCGACCATTTCACTTGATGAACCTGTCTCCTTTAACAATGTATATTCCCCTTATATTATATATAATATGTGTGTTTGTTTGACATGTCTGTTATATTTGCTAGGTATATATGAATCGATATTCCATTATAATCAGCCAATCATGTTAAGACTGTCTATTGATTTGTTCATTTTGGATATTCGCTGACACACTTGTGTTCACACACTTGTTCGGACATTCATATATATTTTTGCTCTCACACTCTTGTGTGACTTGGATTCTCCTTGTGTTTGGAAAATAGAAGTATCATCGCAAACCTAGTGGTCTTCTGATTTCCGTCTTTCTTGCGTCAGGACTATTAAATTCTCGACCAGTACATAACAATAATTTGGCGACGAGTACATAATATACACTTTGATCAATCTAGTGGTTATCAGTCTGCGCCAACTCCAAGCACTGGATACACAGATATTCATTAATCATCGAAGAGTGGCCTATGTATCTACCACAGTCTTACAGGAGGGCACTCACGACCCCAAATAGCTCACTGGTAGCGTCCCTGACATCATCACTCGATGATGACGGTTTGTATCATCGAGAGGCGATATTATTTCCGCCATAGTTACAGACAAACAATGCCAACAAACACGAAGCTAAGAGGTCAAACAGACATGGATTCCTGCTAACTAACATTGCAGCCCACTTCAAACCACCATTATGACAGCTTCTCATTACCCTTTCAGACAGGAATTTAGGCATTCAAGCTTCAGATGCTTTTGACTCTATTCCTAGAGCTGCTTCACTAACCAAGCTGACTTCAGCACACAATGAGTCCTGCTTCATAAAGTCACGGCTGTCTTCTTATTTTAGCCAGGTAGAAAACAATATACTGCTTTGAATGGGAAGCGCTCCACTTCGTTGATAACAGAGGCTGGTGTGCCTCATCAAGTCACTGCTGTACTCTCCATTCCTTCTTTCTTTCTTCCTATCTGACCTGTCCTGCATTCCTTCAAAGCTAACTGCATCGAATATGCCGACGATTTAACCATTTCTGTCCCAGTACTTTACACACTGGATTGTTATTATATGTGAATAGATTCTTATCTAAAGTTGACAAGTGGTATTACCTATAATTGATCTTAAATTGAATCCATCCAAATGTTTCATATTGTTGATTTTAGTTTCAGATGCGAACAACACCTGCCTGGACTGGATGATTCACTCCTATGGTTGTCCGTATTATTGACGGTACTTTGTGATGCAGAGTAAATCGAATATATCTTATCTCGGAAGCATCAGTTTCTCTTCGAATCTGTGCTGGTCGTCTCATATCCTGTTGATTTCTAATCACAAAAGTTTTCAAGTGTTGGTTTGTAGGGATTTGATTGGTTAATTACAGGATTTCATCATGAGGTGACATTGGTTAGAGAACCATTGGAAAACCTGCAGGGAGTACTGCCAGACAGCTGTTTTGTCCCACCTAGTTTGGGACTGCACAAACGTTTTCGTTTGACTGATTACATGAAAAGGAAGTGAAGACTTTCTGCTAGCGTAACTCACCTTAACCTCTCCTCTTAAAATTTATGATTAATTCGTGTATTCTGCTCATTCTTCTTCCTTATTGTTCCCCCTGTCCACTGATTCTTCCCTGGAATTCTCGAAAGAGACTAGATCATCTTACATAGAACAATCAAGGTTGTAGGCAGGCAGGGTTAGTGGTGTGTGTGTGTGTGTCTTTGACTCAATCGACTGATATTTTACTTGTCAATAGGCACTTCAATTCTTGAAATCAACTGGCTAAAGTTACCTTGTCTGATACTCAATATCCTCTCCAGTTATTCACAACTTTCTCCTTTTATCTCTTCGTGGGGGAGCGTTATAACTGAAATGAATATACTCCGTCGCCAATCTGTTATGATTGATGCAAAACTGGATAGACCCGTCGCTACTTTGTTATGTCTGCACCTGTCAGTTACTATAACGATTATGAACTCTACTGGTAGTCTAATATGCCTAATTATCCGTTGTACCTTCCGGTTCACTGAGCCACACAACTATCAAAAGACAAAGGATGGCCTGTGACAGTACTACGCTGTATTATACTGTATAGTTTAAAAAACACCACATGATATTTATACATTTTGCTTATCATAGTAAAGTCGACTCACAACCGTGAGAATGGATTGATTTTATTAACTGGAAATGTCTATTCTGATTAGTTGGTGATCCGACAAAGATCAAGGTGAGACAAAAGACGATGAATGGATCACATGCTAAATGACAATATGCGTTAGAAATGATACGCTAAAATAGTAACTCCATCACATGGTAAATCACACGATTTATGAGAAAAGATGGTATACTAATTTATGCTGGATTCTATCAGGGAGTGAAACCAGAATTAACTTCATGAGAATGTATACTCGTATGACTAATCAATAAGAGGGAGTTCTAACATGCGATATTTATCAGAGATTTTGCGTAGAGACAGCTGTCAGAAAGGAACTAACAAACTTTGTAAATCAATAACTGAACTGCAAGGTAAAAGCAAAGAATATTATAATTATTATTATTATTATTACATGTATTATCTGTGTGACTATCTACTTATACTTCATTATGTTTCTACCAACATTCTGTTGATAGTGTTTTCATTATTAATATTATTATTACTAGTATTTTAAATTTTATGTATGTATATATTTATAAAAGGAGCTAAATTGTTGCAATATGTATGAAAACGTTGAAAACTCTATTCTGTATAGTTGTTATTGTTGTTTGGAATAAACTGATTATTACTAGGATGTTTCAGTTGCCATGGTATTTTTGTCCCATGGAGTAAAGTTCCTAGACTCACGTGCAGATTTCCCCCTTTTTCCGAGGGCTTTCAAACTAGCGCACGTCAAGAAAAGCCTTGAATATAAGCTTCGTCCCAGTGATCTTAAATTATTAACTCATTTGTTCCACTCGCCATTGTGTTTATCACTTAAACGGTAATCCCACTGCAATACTTGTTTGCATGTCTCTTGAAATGATTTCGTTGCCAGAAGGAGATAAGGCGCTAGTAATCCAAGTGGGTCAACAATCGATGACGACACTGATATTACACCTCTTCGAGTGACCGGTGTATGAACATCTCCTATACCAAATCCAAAGCTATCACAGCTAACGTCCCACTGCTAGTCTAACACGCATTCAATGATTGGCGTATCAATGAGGAAATCTCGAACAGTGGATCCTCGGCATCCTGTCACTTTAGGCGTCAGAACATCGAACAGTGCACGAAGTTAACCTGGATCCCTCAAGTTATAAAACAGGACGATGAGGCAGCTACTATTTCCCAAGTTCATTCTGATTAATCGATCTCTCAGCACATGCCTTTGTTATGTTTTTAAGACTTTACTCACGGACCGATATCAGTTAGAGAACCATTGGAAACCATCGGGAAGTACGGGACAACGGCTGTTTCATCCTAGTTTGGAAATCATCGGCAGTACGCACCGAAACTAGGATGAAACAGCTGTGTCAGTACTCACTGGTTTTCAATGGTTCTCCAACCGATATCAGTCCATGGTCAAACTCGTAAAAAATATTTAATTCTTACATACCAACTCTTGGAAATCTTTCTTATGTATTTTTCAGTAACTTCCTTAAACTTAGTTCATAGATCTATTTCCACTACAAACTTCTTTCCTAAACTCATAGGTCTTTTAATAGCAGCTTCTCTATTACAAACCAACTGGTTATTTTTAAACCTCTTCGATCATTTAAACTATCTTCGTGTCTTTTCGAGATATTATTGCCAAGATACTCTTGTCGCACGTATCACGAATCATGGTCCTTTTGTTCATATAACTGCTTCCAAAAAGGGATGATACCTGAGCTGTCTATAAAGATCTTTTCACTGTCCATCCCAGTGAGGTTTTCGTAACGTATAGTTCTCCACTACACCCAAATCTCTCTTTCAACACCTTATGAGCTTCCAGGTACGCGGCACCCGACAATCAGTTTCACTTCATCCCCTTGAAGTGAGGAAGACGGTATATCAGACAAATGTGATGTGTTGATGACTGTTTGACGATTAGGTTTTATGACTTCACCAATATCCTACTGGAAGTAGTATAAGCAGTTATCACTTGAATGGATTCTTCAGCCATCAGGAATCCTAGACAAAATGACACCTGTCCTCACGTTAACGCATTAGAACAATTGAGCGTATTCGGCACTAAAGACTCTTTCACACCCTTGATACCTAACCAGTCGGCCAGTCCAGCAACTACCAAACGTAATGTACGGTCCACTATCTAGTAATGCGTATGCGTCAACAAATGATTTCGATCCTCTTACTCTGACCGCCAGCACACCCAAGCAGACACTGTGACCGTCATAATGCTAGAAAGTGCTACCGCATGATCTTTTGCCGTCATCAGTATTGAGCGCAATCTCACCAAACCACTACTGCTTTTCAGATCCATTCTGTAAGCCCTTCCAATGATCTAAAACAATCGTTTCCATCTCTAAACTTGTAGTCATTTTGATGGAGTCATTTCGAAGTCATAACACACTCACTAAGTCTATGTATACTACTACCAAAGATCGGACTTTTAATTAATATCTGCTGCCGCGAGAATACTTCATTACAACTGTTTTTGCCCAACCGACTGAATTCTCACTTTCGGCAATGGAGCGCAAAACTGCCCATTGTTTGGTTAATACCTTCTTTCAAGAGCCTCAAAATACCATCAAACGCCACCTCCAATTTTTTCTTCTTTGTGTGTGAGCCGATCTTGACCCACTTTTTTCGTAACCCTGCAGTTAAAAGCCTGGCGATAATCTCCATGGCAGTACTCTAGTTTGGACGATTAGTGCAACCCAAGGAAACTAAAGTACTTTTGTAGGTCATCAGCTGATCCACAAACACAGTGAATTCTTTGGAGTCATCTCTCAATTACCTACCACTGCTTTTAACAATTTCAAACACTTATTAGAGTGAAGAGAGAATCTCCTAAATCCCTAACGTAAAGTGCCATTTCCGTCAACGTAAGCCTCCATTAGGTGTGATAACTTAGGACACTGTAAAGCGCGAGCAGCG